CGCTGGGAGGAACGCTGAGTGCCTGGGAGGCCCGAGCACGGGTTACCCGGTTTCTGAAAGAATGACTTAATAATTATCAACTTTTACCATCTTTTTGCATGTTCATTCTGTCTGCGAATGAGCCCAACCCAATAGGCCCCCAACCGGAGCCGCTCCCCAGCCACAGGCAGAGCCAAGAAATGCGCGGCTCTTCCATCGTAGCCTTTCTTCAGCAGGCGGAGGTGCCTGCAAGCACGGGATTAACTTCGCGAGGGCGGCTGACTTTGCTTCTGTTTTGCTCAAGTCATGCTGCCCTAAACCCGAAACCCTAAACCCTAAACCCTAAACCCTAAACCCTAAACCCTAAACCCTAAACCCTAAACCCTAAACCCTAAACCCTAAACCCCCCCCCCCCCCTCCCCAACCACAGAGTGTTGGCCACGCGACTCGTCGGACGAAGAGAATCTGAGCGCGGCTGCAGAGCTGCCAAGTGGAGCCCGGAACCCGAAACCCTGAACACCAAACCCTAAACCCTAAACCCTACAAAACCTACAAAACCCTACAAAACCCTAAACCCTAAACCCTAAACCGCAACACATCCCGAATCACCCTCAGCTGCAAGGCAAACCTTGCCCTCATCAGCTCGCAACTCGAGGACGAGTTTCGTCCCATTCTTGGGGCATGGGATCTCTTTCAAAATTCGCCAACTTCTTGGTGGGTGCTCTCCGAAAAGAGGCACTGTATTCGGAACCCCAAGCCCAAGCCGGGGGGGACAACATTGAATTTTTACTTGGTTTACGGCCCATATGTACCCTACTACAGGGTTGAGGTAGTATAATTAGCCGATATGGACCCCCTGAAGCTCTAAGTGAAGTCATGGAGCGTCAGCTGACGCTAGCAGCAACGGAAGAAGAAACTAGGGCGTAGATGCTCCCAATTTAAGGATTGCTGTGGTCCGCAAGGAAACGGACCATAGCTTAGAACCACCCCCCCCCCCCCCCCCCCCCCCCCCCCCGCAAGTAATGTTGACCTCGTAATCATAACCCCCCCCCCCTTCAATCAAACCCCCCCAAATAGAGTGGGGGCCCCTTTGAATAAGGATTCCTTTCCTTAGAGAGACTTAGAGAGGATCAGAGAGAATCACTCAGGATTCCTTTCCTTAGAGAGAATTAGAGAGGATCAGAGAGAATCAGAGAGGATCAGAAAGGATCAGAGAGAATCAGAGAGGATCATAGGGAATCAGAGAGAATCAGAAAGAAGGGCTGGGAGGCTTCTACGGGTCAGGGCTTGGTTACTACGGGTCAGGGCTTGGTTAATACCCTAAACCCTAAACCCTAAACCCTAACCCTAAACCCTAAAGAGCTTTTTTTCAGACAGGAATTTCCAGGAACTTTATTCCGAGGGGCAGATCTTTCAGGATTATTTCCAGGGCACCGGCCTCCAAAGCTACCCCCTTTGCCAGAAAGATTTTTTCAATCCTCTAGTAAGGCTCTCAAATAAAAAACAGCAAGTTTCTCAGGAGTTTGGTTTTCAGGTTTCTCTTCGAAATCTGATCGCTTCATGTTTTCCTATAATTAAATCCTAAACCCTAAACCCTTAACCCTAATTAAACCCCAGACCCTAAACCCTAAACCCTAAGACTTTAATTGCAGGGGCCCCTGGATTTAGAGACCAGGCCATACCCTTATCCCTAAACCCTAACCCTAACCCTAAACCCTTAACCCTAATTCAATAAGACTCCACAACACCTAAGTAAACCTAAGCCATGAACCCTAAACCTAATGAAACCATGAAGCGATCATTTGAAGATTTTTTTTCAGGCAGGAATTTCCAGGAACTTTATTCCGAGGGGCAGATCTTTCAGGATTATTTCCAGGGCACCGGCCTCCAAAGCTACCCCCTTTGCCAGAAAGATTTTTTCAATCCTCTAGTAAGGCTCTCAAATAAAAATCTGCAAGTTTCTGATGAGTTTGGTTTTCAGGTTTCTCTTCGAAATCTGATCGCTTCATGTTTTCCTAATTAAATCCTAAACCATAAAACCCTTAACCCTCCCTCTCTTTTCTCTCCATAAACAAACAAAGAACAACGGACACCCCCAAAAAAAAACAAGCCCCGACTGGCGTACTTTATTCCCAGGGCTTTATTATTGCGGCCGGGACACCTGGCGCACTTTAATTTACGGGGGTTTAGTAATGCGAGGTTAACATTATAAGGAGGAGCTCCAAGTTCGCTCCGAGACTACAACTTTGATGTTGCGGACGGAGTTCAAAGACTCGTCCAAACTAGCCTTCTTGGGCTGTGGGCCTAGGGTTTAGGGTCCCTAAACCCCATTAGACCGCAGACACAGGACGGTCCTTCCAGTCGAGGCTGGAAAGGGCGCCCTGTGTGGATGGAAAGCTTCGACCAAAATGGCTTCAGAACGTTCAGCTGAGGATTCTGTGAGCCCCCAGACCCAAACCATCCTAAGACTACTTAAGGCTCGAACTTTTGGACAGGCTTGAGCCGCATTCCGCGCCGTTGCGTGGCTGGCTCAGATGTAAACCTTGCACTTTCCACCCCTGCTCCCCACCCCCCCCAGAGCAACGGGCAGAGCCGGGTTGATTAACCCTAAACCTTAGTGGGTGCATGGGCCTCTTTATGGGCCTGGGTCTGTTGGGACAGATTTCATGCGTCCGGACTACATATAAAGCTCCCCCGAACTATTTATAAAACTGGCCGAACTATTTATAAATCGTCCGGAACCGCTCGGAACCCTTCTGGACTGTTTGTAACCGTGTTGGGAGACACCATCGCCGACCATCGCTCAAATCAAAGCCGCAACAATAGCCCCACAGTGGTTATAAGTCGCCCGGAACCGCTCGGAACCGTTCCGAACTATTTATTAACGTCGGGTTCATATATAGTCCAGAACGGTTCCGAGCGGTTCCGGACTATCTGGAACGATTTGGAATCATCTGCTGGAAAATTTTTATATAGTTCTGAGAACTTTTATGTATAGATCGAGGAAGATTATATATAGTTCCTGAACCATGCGGGATGCCCAACAGTTAAAGAGGCCTACACACCTACTAACCTAAACCCTAAACCCTAAACCCTAAACCCCCGGTTAACCTATCATGTAGGCCCCAGAAAACCCCACCACGCTGACACACTCAAGAGTTTGGGGGCCTTACGGGGCTCCATGATGCTCTGATGTGCAAGACGTCAACACTGTACTACAGTAGTACAGTAGCCTTTACTTGTGGGATCCCCCCATGTGAGTCATCCTTGTAGAAGTACCCAGCATTCCCATTCTGCTGAAGAAGCTGGTCTGAAATCCCTGGCATGAACCGGAGTCGCAAACTCGGGAAAGCCCATCCTAGAAAGCCAAAGGCCCGTCCGCACAAACCCTGACGTATTAGAAGCCTAGACCCTAAAGATCCCTAAAGCCTAAACGTCTAAACGCCGTAAAAAAAACTCCAAAGCCCTCGAATGTCCCCAAAACGCCTAAACAAGCGCCTAAACAAGCGCCTGTGGCTTGAGGCGACCAAGCCTGGCTCAAACCAGGAGCAGGAGGAGGGGTCAACATATGGGTTTAGGGTTGAGGGTTTAGGGTTTAGGGTTTCCTGCGCGAAAAGGGATTCTGGGTTTAGAGGTTTGGTGTAATTTGTTGGGGTTCAGGGTTTGTAGTGTTACACTGGGCTCAGGATGGAGAGTCACGAAGTTCCGCTCCTGGGATATCGTGAAGCAGCACATAGGTTCCAGTTTCACTTCCACTGTGCAAGATGTGATTCGCTTTTGTTCAATGGGTCTCCCTTGTTTGCGGCCGGGAACTGGTATTCTCCTTTCAACGCGTTTGCTTTAGTTAGCTCCTCCTCGCGCTCGTCCTCTTCTGCAAATGTGCCTGACCAACCCGCTGCTGCACTGCAGGACGTCAAGCAGCAGCCGGAGACAGAGGCGCTTTCGGAGACTCGAGGTAGACTAAAAGGAAGGCCTCCACGTGGTGGGAGATGACACCTTTTGCCCTGGAGGATAGCTGCCCCGACGCAAACTTTTCATGCCCGACACCTGAGGAAGGCACGAAAGGTCTCATATGCTGTGAAGGTGAAAGATCAGCTGGCCATCCAGGCCCGCACTCTGCTCGGCCCGACACTTACTTACTGGTAGCAACCCAGTCAACCTCTTGCATCGACTCCCTAAACCCCAAGCCCCAAACCCCAAGCCCTAAACCCTAAACCCTAAACCCTAAACCCGGAGTTTTCTTTCTGCCCCAGCAGCGACTCTGTCACACACCACGGGGCCCCACCACCGCCGATCAGCCGAGTCAGCAAGGCTTCGAGAGGCGCCTGCGAGCTCTGGAGCGGCTGCAAGGTGAAGAGCCCAGAGCTGTTCCCCTATGAAGTAGGGTTTATATTTCTGTTATTGGTGAGTGTATATAGGGTCCCTTTTTCATATTGGTGAGTGTATATACCGGGTGTCCTTTTAGGGGTACAAGATCTATTCCCCGATGAATTTTGTGGTACTTTACTGTAACTTTAGATCCTTCTACCTTTTTTGGGCTTATTGGGTTTCTTCTTCAGGCAGCTAAAAGTCTAATTTATAGCTACCCTCCTGAGTGCAGCCAAGTGAATTCCCATGAGATGGCTTTCGTTTATATATAGGTAAGTGAATATGTACATATACAAATGTTGGATAACATATCCTATTTCATCTACAATGTCTACAAACATGTACATACATATATACATATGTTCACATAGAGTACATACACTACCCACACACTTGCAGCGACAATGTGAAACTTTCTTCTCCAACAGCTGAACTTTAAACTTTTTTGGGTTCCCTTATTTAGTAGGAATAAGAAACCCTAAAGCCTAAACCCTAAACCCTAAACCCTAAACCCTAAACCCTAAACCCTGAACCCCCTTTTTTCTCCCTTGGTTATTGGAGAAGTAAGGAAATGACCGGGCGCGCGAAGCTCCGAGCCCAGCCTTTTGGCTCAAGCTGAACGAAGCGCGAGGCATCCTCCCAGCCTTGCAATCATGACGAGGCCTGGAAGGTGTAGTAGGCAGTAGGGTTTGGGGTTTAGGGTTTAGGGTCTAGGGTTTATAGGGTTTATAGGGTTTGTAGGGTTGACAGGGTTTAGGGTCTAAGGTGGGCATCATTACGATCTTCTCTCGACCTCAAAAGACTGTGACTGCGCGTGTTCTGAGGCAATCGTTCGAGAAAGGAGCACAATACGAGAAGCAAAGTAGCACCAAAGAATGGTGTCACGAACCAAAGACTGTCCGTACCCCCAAACAATGTCAGACCTTCACGACGGCACATCGCAAGTGTCCTTCGGGCGCCGTCCAAGGCCCACTACGGTAGTGAGAGAGCACTTCACCAGGAGCATGCGAGGTGTGCCCGCCATTTCGGGCACAGACAAAAGCATTGAGATACCATCCCGAGGTTTCTAGGGTTTAGGGTTTAGGGTTCATTCGTTGGAACACAAATGGTGTTGCCGTTTGGCGGACTGCTGGCCTGCGCAGTAGGGCTGCCACAGTATGGCTCGTCTCTTGCATACATACTGACTGTAGTATGCGTAGCATAAATAAATAAATAAATATATATATATATAGACAGCGCACTATATGAATTGAGTATAATATGTAGACCATGTTCTTGTTGACTCTTGAACTGCATGTTTCTGATCCTTAATTGCTCTGTATTATCCCCGCGATTTGAGGATCCTGACGACCTAGAGACCTAGACGGGCAAGGAGACTTGTGCTTCGTTTAGAGGTTTCTATCGTCTCCATGTTTTCCTTAAGTAAAAAGCAAGGGAATATGAAGTATTAGCAGGGTTCCCAGAGGGGTATCAGGGCCTCAGGGTTCGGATTGGGGTGGAGGCTTCCGGTGTCGCGGGTGGAGGGTGGACATACAATGTCGTAATGGCATGGAACAGCACACGAAGGAAGCCAAACCCTAAACCCTAAACCCCAAACCCTAAACCCCAGACCCCAAACCCTAAACCCTAGATCCTGAACCAAAAACCCTAAACCCTCAACAGTGCCTTGCAGCACCCTCCGCCACTCACAGGCTCCTCCTGGCCTTGTGTTGCACCGCTCTGGCGGCAGACATCGAAAAGCATCAGGCCTGTACCGAGCGGTTTAGGATTTAGGGTTTAGGGTTTAGGGTTTAGGGTTTAGGGTTTAGGGTTTAGGGGATGGATAGCAAAGAAGGTTCAATAGCACCTCTCATAACATCATAGGACTGTGTAGTATAGTGGAGTACGAGTTTCTGTAATTGTAACACATACGGGTTCATTTGTTATATATATATATATATATACATATTTGCGATCTGCTGGCACAACTTATACAGAAAGACTACAATGCGTCAAGAGCATCCAAGGTGGTAGATGGGGCAGGTCTCGCAACCGTAGAAGTAGACATGCCACCTCATATTATGATACCTCAACTCGGTAGGCTCTTGTGATATACATATACATATACATATACATATACATATACATATACATATACATATACATATACATATACATACATATATATATATATATATCTGTGTGTGTGTGCGTGCATCTTCCCCTTGTTGGGTCCAGGGGGATCCTATATAGGAACATCTTCAGGGGTTTAAAAAGGGGGGGGGGCCAACCCGGTCAGCGTGTCTTTTTCATTGCTAGGTCCTGAGCGTGGCGAAGCCGGAGGCTCCGGGCAAGGAGGCGGGTTGAAGAGCTCGGGCTCCGCTTGTATAGATTTTGATGCAACATATTATACATATAATATTGTATTATGTCATCTATGTCATAATACAATACGTTGTGTTATCAGGGTTTCGGTGTTTATGGTTCGAACTTAGACGCAGGGCAGGGGTGGGGTTGCATGGAGTGTAGGGCCCCTACTTCCATGTTGGAGTGAAGGTACGGTTAGGGTTTAGGGTTTAGGGTTTAGGGTTTAGGGTTTAGGGTTTAGGGTTTAGGGTTTAGGGTTTAGGGAGGAAGCCACTGAAAGGTGAAGGCACCGATGCCTTTTGGGGGCCTGGAGCCTTTCGGCCGGCAAGATGCTGGCCAGGACAGGGTTGTCACGAAGAAGGCTTAGGGCTTAGGGCTTAGGGCTTAGGGCTTAGGGCTTGGGGTTTAGGGTTTAGGGTTTAGGGTTTAGGGTTTAGGGTTCAGGGTTTAGGGTTAGGGTTGGTGAGTGTATGTATTGGGTGTCCTTCTGGGGGTACAAGAAATGTAAACCCTACTTCATATGCTGTGGCCGCCCTCACGCGACGAAATGCTTGTTCTATAGATTTTTGTTGCTGCCTGTTCCGTACCGAGATTTGGGAATGTAGGGGTAGGGTGTTGGGCGTGATGACTTGATGCGCTGCATCAGGAGTTGACGGAGTCTGCCATGACCGAGACAAACGAAATGGCGCTCCTCCCAGCTGAGTGAGCCAAGAAGTAGCAGGTGTTCGCTGCTGAGCTACGTGAAGCCTCCTTAAATCCCGATCTCCCACCCTTCTAAGACCCTAACCCCAAACCCCAAACTCTAAACCCTAAACCCTAAACCCTAAACGAAGTCAAAAGCCTCTGGATGCCTTGGGTGCACTACACTAGGTGGATCAGCTGGAGCGTGCGGAAGTGGCTGAGGAGACATGGGTGCTCAGTTCAAAGCCACAGCTCGAGTGGTTCCCCTTGTTGCTGTAGGATCTAGGGCTTAGGGTTTAGAGTTTAGGGTGTAGGTGGTTCGTTTGTTTTTTGAATGTGGTCATGCGCTGTTTTGTTAGGGGGTGTATCTTGCTTGCAAGCAGGAAAAGAGGAGCGCATTCCGGGCGCTGACGCGGTTGCGAGGCGGCGGGAGGGAATCTCCGGAGAGACCAGTGCAAAAGGTCGATGTCGATGCTGTTTTGTCAAAGAGCTTATCGTGCACTCGAGGCACCACTGTGTTGCGGCTGTTTGCTGACACCATCGTGGTCCCTGTAACCCCTAAACCCTAAGCAGGTGTTGCCCTGGCTTCCTTTGATGGCATTGCTCGGAGTCTTGGCAGAACCGGGCTCTTCTCTGTGCGAGATGTGTGGAATCTGTCAAGACAAGGGCAAGACAAAATCCGCTCTGCCGAATAGACTAGTGGCAAGAAGCTGTTTGCCATTGTGACCCGGTTTGTCTTGAGGTGGAACGGTTTTTGGACGGTTTGGGATTTATTTCGATACAATTTTGCAAGGCAGACAATCGGTTGACGACGGAGACTCCAATTTGTTTCATCCAGCAATGCCAGCACTAAAGGGTTTTTCGGGTTCTTCGACTTTGCTGGAGCCTCGCGCGCGAAGCCGCGCAGCATAGCTTTTCCTTCATGAACTGACGAGTCGCCATTGCTGCAAGTAAGGGCTCAGACCGGCAACATCAAGGCCTGTCTTTGCATCATTGCCGTCTGAAGGGAACCCTGTTCAAGATGTGAGTTCATTCGGAGATCAGAAGCATACGTAGCAACATCCTGGAACAGGCATCCTTATGAGAGGTGCGAAGACAGCCGCAGCGTTTCCTTTATCATGGTCGCCCAGTAGCAGTCTTGAAGTCTATGCTCTCTGAGTGCAGGACTACACACAGGCTCACCACTGGCGCCAGGAGCACCCATTGCATCACCTTGCGCAGGAGGAGAGTGCACCTTGACAGAACACAGCTGCACAGCTCTGAAGCCAGTTTCTTGTGCCGTGTGGCTGTGGATTCAGACTCTTAGTGGGGCACAGGGCTCAAAGGTGCTTTGAAGTTCGGCTCCAAGCTGTACTGCAAGCCCTAAACCCTAAACCCGAAACCCTAAACCCTGAACCCTGAACCCTGAACCCTGAACCCTGAACCCTGAACCCTGAACCCTGAACCCTGAACCCTGAACCCTGAACCCTGAACCCTGAACCCTAGCCCTAAACCCTAAACCCTATATTCCCTAAACCTGAGACTTGAAACTCTGGGTTTCGGGGTTCAAATGGAGCCCAGGATGTGGGAAAGTGGGCCTTTCCCTCCAGCGCGGACTTCTGAGAGAAAGCGTGATGGCGGAAGCCGCAGATTCCTCCTGTTCGCAAGTTACGGTCAGAGATGGTGTAAGGGTTTAGGGTTTAGGGCTTAGGGCTTAGGGCTTAGGGTTTAGGGTGCTGAAGACTCACTCGAAGTGGCATCTGCTGTTGACCACTAGGGTCGTCCACTTCACAAATTCACGTGAAGGAGAGCGATGCCTGAAATCACTCGGGCGGCACATTGAGCTTGCCGGGCTCAAGGTTGTTTAAGACATACAAGAATATGTATACACGTGTGTATAGAAATCTATGCATAGAGTGAGTGAGAGAGAGTACATATTGTCGAGCATATCTGAGGAGATAAGTATATCCATGTGATGTTTCAATACATGTTTTTGCTTATTTGCCTGTGCCGTAGAAGCCTTTCTCAGCGCGCACAGAGTTAGAATGGGAGCTAGACAAGTCGAGCGGAGCTATTCGATATTAGGCGTTTCGGGTTTCGGGTGCCTGTCTGAGAGTGCTTGATTAATCTGATATCGTGTTTTCCGTACATTGGCTTAGGATACCGCTTGTTCCAGAAAAGAGTACCTCTAGAAGATCCCCCCCCCACTCGCCTACCCCAAGTATCCTTTGCATACGGGTCGCTGTCCACGTGGAAGGTGCCGGAGGGGAGAAGGAGCCGATCCCGACCGTGGAGGTGTGGATTTTCGGTTCACGGTTGGGTACGAAGCTACCCGAAATCGTGACTTTGTAAATTGTTATGTGGCGTGTGGATGCTCTGAACCCCCACATCTCCTACATTTCCTGAACATGGCAATTCGTCCATCGGCTTCCTTTTATTCGATTCTGCTCCCCAGCTTAAGCTTCTTAGGTATTTTGTCAAGTCATGAGCAGATAGAAGATGCAGGACTGTCAAGCAGCTGTCACCTGCGACAGCAGGAAGCACTGTTGAAGCTAATCGTCGGAGCAGGGTGTGTTGCAGTGGTCAGCGTCCTCACACGGGCTTAGGGTTTTATGGGGCTTGTAGGGGTTTATAGTGCTTACAGGGTTCATATAGGGTTCCGAGGGTTTAGAACCAGCTTTGACCAAGTGTGTTCTCTCAGCGTGCGCCTGAGCCATGGCGCCACTTCTGCAGCTGTTTCAGAGCCCTGAGCCCAGTGTCGTGCTCGAGTGCTGATTCTTTCATAGGGTTACCCCATTTTATGAACACCCAAATGCAATAGAATCCCTTCAAGGGGACCATGCTTGAGGGCGTAGGACGTGCTCGGGCTTTAGAGCTTTGGCTTGACATCGGGTTTGGGGCTTTAAGGTGAAGAGATGTACCAGGAAACATCCGATGCGCAGGAGCGCAGAACAGTTCCCCGAACAACGCAAGAAACACACCTGCTTCAAGTTTAAGAAGCACATGTGTCAAGAAGGAAACTAGTCAATCTAGTCCCAAATTTTCGATCCCATGCCCCATAAACGATCCTAAACCCTAGACCCTTAACCCTTAATCCTCAACCCTCAACCAACCCTCAACCCTCAAACCAAACCCTAAACCCTAAACCCCAAACGCTAAACCCTAAACCCCCAAACAAGAGGTGCGGACCACTCCTGGCTGAAGCAGCTGCAGCCCGACCCGGAGACCGCCACCAATCTTCGTGTTGGTCGAGGATTTGTTTAGGGAGTTCGGAGTTTAGGGCTTACGGGTTCGGGGTTTAGGGTTTAACGTTTAGGGTCTAGGGATTCTCGGAGTTTAGGGCGTGAGGGGGGGGTATGTCAGGGTTTAGGGGCCGTAGGGATTTCGGAGCTGCTGTTTTCGGGCTAGGATCCTGTTGAGGTGCTAGGTTTTGTTTGGAGGGGGGGGGGGAATGGGGGGGATCTAATTTTGTGTTTCAGGGATTAACCCAGCTCTGCAACCCAACAGCCAGCAAGTTCCGTTCCGCGTTCCAACCTGCGGGGCTCTAGCAACCCAGCCCTTCGGCTGTGGGGAATTTAGGACTTCAGGGTTTTCTTATTGACTTTGCCAGACGGTCCAGGCAAATTGTAGATCTTTAGGGTCTAAGGGATTGGGTTTTGGGGTTAACCGTTAAAGGATCTCTGAACTTCCAGGCACGGGGCTCGGCAATCCTAATTCTTGAAGCAGGCTTTGCTAGCCAGCTGAGAGCCCTCTGGGCACGAAAGCCCTGTCTCCACTCTGAACTCCGCCCGAATCCCTTGACGTACTAAGCCCCAAACCCCAGCAAGCCTTCAACCATCACCTGCGGCTGTGGGCCAAGGAAAAGTACCAGCCCAACAAGCGCAGCCGGCAGGTCAAGTCAGGTGGATGGAGGGGGGAGTGGTCGTGTGGGTGTTTCAACCAGTCAAGGTTTAAGGTCTAAGGTTTCAGGTAGTTTTCGAGTGTTTGGTTGACCAGCACTCTGGCAGTTTTGGATGCCACCAGCTTCCACCTACCACTTGTCCCTGTCGAACCTCCATCACTGCTTCCCCAATAGACCTGGAATGCTCGCACAACTTCTTAGCTGAACTAAGGTGTTACTGATCCCGAAAAGAAGCCAACCTTATGTCTTTGCCACCTCGGTGAGATGAGACATCGGGCGCGTCTTAAACTCCCGGTTTAGGGTTTAGTGTTTAGGGTTCAGGGTACTTAGGAGGTCCAGGAGGTGTATTCTTTGATGTGTTCTTTGTCTCAGAACTTGCTGACCATGGGCGTAGAAGGATCATGCTCTCCAAGTCAACTATCAAAGTCCTACAGCCACAACAACCACAAACCCTGTGGACATCTCTACTCAGCTACTCTCCTTTGACACGACAGCACCCTAAGCTTCCTAAACCCTCAACCCTAAACCCCAAACCCCAAACCCTAAACCCTTAACCCCCCCCCCCCCCCGGAAAAAAAAAAAAAAAAAAAAAAAAAAACTAAAGAAACAAATCCATCAGGCCACTATGTTCGAGTGGCTCCTTCCCCCCTCCCGGAACCCAAGCTCATCATCTTCTCGGCCTCGATGGCTGAGGCTGCTGGGCTGCGACGCTTTGCAGGGGTGGGTTTAGGGTTTAAGGTCGAGGGTTCTCGGGTTTAGGGTTTAGGGTTTAGGGTTTAGGGTTTAGGGTTTAGACTTCTTCAGGCTTGATAGGGCCCACACTTGACAGGGCCAGTTTCCAGCTTGTTCGTAGTTGTTTAGGGGGCGGGGGCCGGGGAGGCCCTTACAGGGCATGTACAGTTCACCTGACTCCAGACTGTCAGTGGAGGGGTTGAGGGTTAAGGGCTCAGGGTCCCAGACCAGTACCCTAAACCCTAAACCCTAAACCCTAAACCCTAAACCCTAAACCCTAAACCCTAAACCCTAGAGGGCTTGTGTCTCACTCCATGCTGGATCCAAGGCATTGGGCATCCCGGAGGCCGAGTGCACTAGCCAGGAGCGCTAAGATTCTGATGCCTTGGGATGTGCCCCCCCTATACTAACTGTCCTTAATGCGGACGGTTAAAAGAAGGAGTACTACAATCCCTATTCAGGACTGTTAGTATAAGGGGGAACATCCCGACTAGTAGCCCGGGTAACCCGGCTCCAAGTAAAGAGTGAACGGCGCACCGGTTTCCGCGACGCGAAGAGGAGTTTGCTGCCTTCTTCTCCGGGCAGCAGCAGATCTCCGGAGGAAAGCTGGAGTCATGGTGCCCCCAAAGAGCTGTGCAGATAGGGGTATTGGGTTCAGGAGACTTCATAGGTGCCTGTTTGTGGTGCCATTGTGCCATTGTGCCCAGCCTTGAGGTGCACGCCCTACGCCCTCTCCATCATGGGGCAGCCGATGGTGCGAAACTGTCCATTTGGCAATGGCAACGGGCCGCTCGACGCACAAGGGACTTCGATTCAGCTCGGTCTGCAAGCTTACAGGTTGGAGTTTATCAGGAACCCTAAACCCTAAACCCTAAACCCTAAACCCTAAACCCTAAACCCTAAACCCAGGGTTTGGGGTTTAGGATTCAGGGGCTTGGGATGTATTTAGGGTTTGGGGCTCGCCTCGGCTCAGACCGGGGTCTGGCCACGTTCCCAACATGCTCGGAACCGAGGTACGGCGACGGACGCGCCATTTCCATTGGCACCTGGGCGGCCGAAGAAAGTTGTCCACCTGCCAGGAAGGCAGGTGCTTGCAGGTCGCTTTGAATTGAGTCTCCTAGGCTCCAAGTGCCCTAGATTCATGGTTTTAGGTTCCCCAAAACCCCCCGAACCTCCCGCCAAGTGCCCCAAATTCATGGCTTTAGGTTCCCCAAATCCCCCCGAACCCCTCCCTAAATCTAGGGCGACGTGGAGCCCCCTGGGTCCAATCCCAAGGAGAAGTTGTGGTGAAGGGAAAGCGCTGGGAGATGCAGCTGAAGGCAGTCAGGGTGTAAAAAGCTTATAGTTTTTGGCTTAAATCCTGAACCCTAACCCCCTAACTCCCCCCAATATTACAAGGGCATCGAGCCCAGCTGAACTTCTATGGGACTTCCTAAGGGAGGGTAAAGGCCCAAACCCCCCACCACGAGCGCACTCAAAGCTTTAGGCCCTAAGCCTTCCACCCCTAAACCTTCAACTCAAACTCTCAACCCCGAGCCGCACTTGGAATCCCTAGCCTTGAACCCTGCAAGCTCTTGAATTCCTATGTGGCAACATAAAAAAAGGGTGCGGGCGTTGGGTGGGGGGGAGAGGAGGGCCTCGGATTATTGCTAGGACCCAGAGTAGGCCCTAGTTCCCCCTTTTTTGCTTTTGTTGCTGGGGTTCCCTAAGCAGCCCTTTGCAACCCCAAAAGGATACCTTTTAAAACCCTAAACCCAAAACCCTGAATCCGAAACTCGTAGGTTCCTCTTGGGTCCAGATAGTCTCGATCCTGGGGGGTTCGGGATTGGGGTGGCTGCCGGGGGTGTCGAGGCGGACGTACCAGCGCTGCTGGCTTGCTTTTGCAAGGATGCTTTAAAACCGTGTATGTGAATATATATATATATAATATAACATAATATAGTATAATATAATATAGTATAATATTTTATAATGTAATATAGTTTATATGTGTGTACATAGTTTTGTATGTATATATATATATGTACATACATAGTGACGGTGTTATAGTTTGCTTTTGTTTAAAGCAAATTATTTTAGCGTGTTCAACCCTTGCCCTCGGCGGTGTCGAGATCTCTTGCTTAACAGCCATGGCGAAGGACCTCAAAAGCACAATCTTAGGGAGCGTCGCTGCGGTCGTGGGTGTCTATTTGCTCGCTGTCGTCTTGCCTCAGCACGTGGAGGAAACGCCGTCGCACCGGCGATACTTGGACTCAGGAGGACTAGGTGCGGCAATCTGGGGCTCGCTTCTGATCTTCTACTTCGCTCCAAACATTGCTATGTCCGAAGACATCGAAGACACGGAATGCGCCAAGCATTGGGAAGGCCAGCTGCATGGAACATCGGCCAATGAGGTTGTAAGTGTACTGGGCAAGCATGAGGACACCTTCTCATGCTGCGCGATGTTGAATCCTTTTGGTCGATTCGGCAGCTTCCTGTTTCTAGTCTTGCGTACAGTCGGCAACGCGGCCTTCATAGTCTACAACTTTTGCACCCTGCCGACACGAGATCCGGATGAGCGACTGAATCAAGCCAAGCACTGCGTAACATGGCTGGAGTTCCCTGGAACGGTGCTGGTTCTATCAATCATAACACTTTTGGCAATTGCCACGCTGTGCACATCGAACATGAAGCTTGCTTTGGCATGGCGAGACGCCCTGAAAGCAGCTTCGACCTTCTCGGTTCTGCAGACACTGCCGCTTGCGAGTCCAATGACTTTCAAGAAGACCATTGAAGAAGCCATCCGGACGAAGGGCCTTGTGCTTGGTATTGCAAAGAGCGTGCAATTCTTGTGGCTGGTGCCACTAGCCATCCTGTCCGTTCTTGTCAAGATTGGGCAGGTGGATTTCATCACCGAGACGATCGTTTGGGACTGGGGATTCTGGGAGTTCTTCGCGTTGGCCGGGTTTATCAACAACCTTGCAGGGCTCAGGGGCGACCATGATGCTGCAAAAGTAGAAGGGATGTTCCTGCTTGTGGACAAACGGGATCCGCAGACGCTCCGCGGACTCTGGGAGAGCGAGGTGGCTGCCTCGGCTCAGCAGCTTTACGGGACTCTGGGTGCCTTGGTCGTCCTCTCCACCCTGTCGGAGCAGCATGTGTGCCAGCTGTTGAACCCCAGGAACAACATGAAAACCACGGGGCATGGTCCAGGGCTCTATGGGCTTCTGAAAGTGGAGCCCTGAAGTTCTGACCCATCTTGCCGGCCTGCTTCTCCGAAGGAGGAGCCGGAGGCAAGCCACCGGGACACCTCACGCTGTTTCTCTTAGTGGCCCCAGGTCCGAAGCTTCCAGGGGCCATGCCTACAGCTTCGGGCGCGTCCCGCTCTCCAAAATCCAGAGAGGGTTGTGTGTTTTAGGGCTATTGTAGCTCCAGATGTCCTACTCTTAGGATTCCACCTAAGCACGCTAAGCACCCGCAACGATGCCCCCCCAGGGCGGCGGGCAGACCCCCTTCTGCCGGGGTGCGGACGGCCGCGCTGTTCTTCGCTCCTCCATTCGCGAGTTCTTGGCCTCCGAGGCCATGGCATGAGCACTCTGCTGCAGGGCATCTTATGAGGCCCTTTTGAGAGTAGAGAGGCCGGGGGGGGCTGAGGATACTACTCCCGTAGGATCCCAAGGCCTGCAGCCTTACAGGTTTCCAGCTTGTGTGTTTCTTACTTTCTGCGGGCTTTCTGCGAGCTGCGAGCTCTCACAGGCGATGTACAACCTCGGTGTGGACACCACCCGCGCCCTTTCGCTGGTCGTCTCCGATGGAGGCGAGATGGCGGAGCGGCCATGGCAAATGGGCATATTTTGGCACCCTAACCCTTCGAGAGCCCGAAAAAGACCCTTGAGAAGACCCTGAGAACCCTAGGAGCCCTCAGAACCTGAGAGCCCTTTAAATTTTGGGAGCCCCAGGCTGAGAAGGCCTGGGAAGCCTGACAGCCCGAAACCCTGACCCTTTCTGTGTCCGATCGAAGGTATTCCAGTGAGAATCGGGACCGGGATCCAGTCGCTTGGCTTGAAGCGAAGGTCTTCGGGAGGTCCCTTGTATCTTCTTTCCGGCACCAAAAAACAGAGGGCTTAGTGCTCCCGGGCTTCGTGGCTCCACCTTGCAGGAGTTTGGGGCCTTAAGGGTGCCGCTTCGGCCCAGGGAAGGCCGAATCAGACGAGTTGTTCAGGTGCGAGGGTTTTATATCAAGAACGAGCCCATTGATGTAGAGTGACTATCGCTTCTCAGGCATGGAGTATTTCAGCCTCAGCTCGAAGGCTAACTTTCGAGCAGCCATCCCCCCCGAGGACATGATGATCCATGAGCCCTGCGCGATCACCACGCGAGTCGCGCCAAGCTTTCTGCGAGTGGGCCACATCGACCTCTTCGCCAGGAGAGCTGCTATGCCCATGAGTTTACGGGTGCGTTTGTGAGGGCCCGACGCCTTGCTAGGCCAGCCTAAAGCAGCTCAGCTCAGCTCACAAAGCCTTCAGAAGCATGACGCATGAAGCTCAACTTTAAGCATCGTGACACGAAGCATCGTTGCAAGCCCTCAGCCGTGGGGCTGTACAGTAGTGCAGGGGAACCATGGCGCCCCCTCCATCCCGCCATGGATCCTGAACACAACCTGTCCCCCAAGCCCAAGCCGTTGTAGCCGTTTAAGTAATTCCGTATCATTGGCCTGCTAGCATGTAGTCAACTTACCCGGAAACCGACTTGGCCCAAGACTCCAGACCCGGGTTCAGGGCTTAGGGTTGGTTCAAGCCTGCTGCCCTTGGCCTGCACATCAGGAGAGCTTCCCAACCCTCAGCACCTCGGCCATACCATACGGGGGCGGGTTGCTTCAGGCTTTTGGGGCCCAGGCTTAAAGTTCTGCTGTTGTGTGGGCTCCCAACTCGTCACGAGTCTTAACCCCCGAGACTCAGAGCATCTCCGTTCAGAAGCTCAAAACCTCGGAATCCATAGTTCGCCCGCCAGACAACAAAAGTCCCTCAAATGTGCCTGGTAGCACATGCGCACTGCGCTCCTGACACTTGCACTGTGAGAGCTGTCATGGCAGCTCACAGCTTGGAAGTTCCGCAGGCTACATGGAGGCTGTTCTAAACTCTGTTCCCTTGTATACGATTTAGGGTTTAGGGTTTAGGGTTGATTCCCGGTACCAGGAGGCTCGGACATGTTCATCCGTTTAGAGCTCACCTTCAGAGTCGGATAGCCATCGGTTTCCTGTGCGCGCGGCCCGAGCCGAGGCGACTCCTGAGCAGATCAAGGCGCATCGTGGGCGTAGGAAATGGGTATAGCTGTATCGTCACTTGCAGTGCACTTGTTGGCATGAACCCCCTGCTGCCAGCAGTGAGGTAGGTTTGGTGACCATCGCGGCATAAGACCCAGATCTCCGTTCCTCCCTGAGGAGCATGCGCTGATTGTGGAGCACGCTCTCTTCCGCGAGTATCCCGCGGCGCGGAAGAAAGTTAAGTTTGGTACACCTCAAGCAGCTACCTTGTCGATGCACCCAAACTCTTCAGCTGCCTCTCCTTGGACATGCCCTGGCGCCGGCGGATGTCCCCCACGCCTGCTCAATAAAACGATGCCACAAAAACAATCCACGAGCCTAAGCCCCATAAGTCCTAAAACAGCCACCCAGGATTGCCTTCCCGGAGCCCCCCTGCCGGAGAGGGCAGCAGCCATGCTTCGCCAGGCGCAGTCGTGGGGTGGTGGGCGTCTCTTTTGCCTGTGCCCCTAAACCCAAAGCAGCAAGAACTTGACATAGGATCTTCGGATCATGACTTAATACAAGCATGCGCCGTCCTCAGCTCTCCTCATGAGCTGACCTCAGGAGATACCGGGACTCGAGAGGCATAGCATGTTGAGGTATCTCCAAACCAGAGGTGAGCATCTGACTGTAGTGGCGCCCTACGCTCTAGGTGCCCTAAACCCACACTCAACTTACTACACCCTACCCCTTCGTCCGATAAGCCATGAAACGTTGGGCGTGTCGGAGAGGGAGGAGGGAGGGGGGGACCCCACGAAGCATGATCACAGCCCCAGGAGGGTTCCAAACGCCGAACGACCTATAGAACCTCTCTCTCTCTCTGTGTCTCTCTCTCTCTCTCTATCTCTCCCTCTCTCTACCCAAGATCCTATACTCTAACTTTAAACCCTAAGCCCTAAACCCTGAACCCGAAGCTCCACACACCCCAAACCCTCTGCCTCCCTGTCTCTTTCTTTAGGCCGCCACACGCTTCAGTGTGCTGCAGCTGGGCCATTGTTTGCGCAGTTGGGCTTCAGGGTTTCAGCAAGTTTTGATGGAGGTTCTAGGATTTGCTGGATCGGGTTTAGGGTTTGGGGTTGTTGGGTTTGGGGGTTTAGGGTTCAGGGGCCTCGGGCTTTGGGGCATTTGAGGAACATTGAGGGGCCTTAATATAATAAGGGTCTGGGGGTTCAGGATATCTACGGTTAAGACCTGCTTCTTCGTTGTCAAAATTCCCCCCCAAGAAGACTTCGTCTTTGGACTTGGGGGCTCAGGGAGAGCACAAAACTCCAAAGCCTTTGAACTCAGAAAGCTCTTCCTTCAACCCCAGACCCAGGCCTCGAAACTTCTTTCCTGCCCCCAAGGCACCCATTTCTCCTAAACCCTAAACCCTAAACCCTAAACCCTAAACCCTAAACCCTAAACCCTAGACCCTAGACCCTAGACCCTAGACCCTAGACCCTAGACCCTAGACCCTAAACCCTAAGCCCTAAACCCTACACCCTAAACCCTAAA